AGATCAAAGTGGATGTCAGAAGAGACTCTGCGACTTGCTCTTAGTTGAAGAGTAGCTAAGGCACATGGAAGAAATGAAGGCAAAGAGCTGAACAGAAATTTTCAAAGGGTAACTCAAGAAGACAACAATATCACATAGTATCATGAAGTGTGCAGAGACCTAGAAAACTGCAAAGGAAGAGCACACTCAGTATATCTTAAACTAAAACCAAAGTCAAGCTTCGAGTTGCACTATTGAAAGATTCTTTGAGCAATTGAAAGCATTAGCCAATAACAAGGTGCCAGGGTTGATGGAATACCCATTGAATGTTTCAACAAGCTAATGAAGGTAACTACTAGGTAACTGACTGGAAGAGATCCATATTTGTACCCATTCCAAAGAAAAATCACCCAACACAATCTCAAATTACAGAACAGTATCATTGTGTTGAAGATTATTCAACAACAGATGTAGCAGTATATTGACAGGGACCTCCCTGAGATTTGGTCTGGATTCAGAGTGGGACATGGGTCAAGGGATATCATTTCTGACTTCAGATAGATTTGGGCTGAAAACAGAGTATATCAGAACTATGTTTACTTATATTTTACTGACTATGCTAAGGAATTCAACTACAGTGATCATAACAAACTATGGATAATCTTGAGAAGAATGAGAATTCCAGAATGCTTCGTTGTGATCATTGCAAACTTACACATTAATCAAGAAGTAGTTGGGGGGATAAAACAGGTAATACTGTGTGGTTCAAAATCAGGAAAGGTGTGTCTGGCTTGCATTCTCTCATCATACGTATTCAATCTGTATGCTGAGAAAATAGAAAAGCTGCATTATATGAAGAAGAACATGGCATCACAATTGAAGGAAGGCTTATTAAAAACCTGCAATATGTTGATGACACAATTTTGCTTGCGGAAAATGAGGAGGACTTGAAGCACAAGCTGATGAAGATGGAGGCTTGCAGCCTTGGATTACAACTCAATGTAAAGCAAACAAAAATCCTCACAGCTGGACCAGTAGGAAACATCATGATAAATGGAGAAAAGATGGACATTATCAAGAATTTCATCCTGCTTGGATCCACAGTCAATGCTCATGGAAGCAGCAGTCAGGAGATCAAAAGACATATTGCATTGGCTAAATCTGCTGCACAAAACATCTTTAAAGTGTTGAAAAGCAATGAGGTTACTTTGAGGACTAAGGTGTGCCTGACCTAAGCCATGGTCTTTTCAATCACCTCATTCATATCCCTGTGAAGTTGGACATTGAATAAGAAAGACTGAAGAAGAATTGATGCATTTGAATTATGATTCTGGCAAAGAAAATTCAAAGTACCACGACTGCCAAAAGAACAAACAAAGCTATCTTGGAAGAAGTACAACCAGAATGCTCCTTAGACAAAGTGGCTATACTTTGTCTCATGTCCTTTACACATGTTGTCAAGAAAGACTGAGTAGAGCCATATCATAAGAACTAATTTTTCTTAGATTGGGACTAGAATTAAGTGCAAGCCCCAAATCCATTCATATATCTATGATTTAAATATGTCTCTGCTTCACTTTAGAGACATTATCATTTTAATAGAAAACATCCCCTTGGAACATAAAATAATTCTATTGATAGTGTCATTAATTTAGCCAATGCTATAGAATTTGAAACTTTCTTAGGAAAATGAAATTATACTAGTATAGACAGGCTACAAACTACATTGTATGAATTGAGGGCTTGTACAGATTAAATTTTTAAGGGACATGACACTATACAAACAATATGGTTTGCTGATAGGGCAAACATTTCAATAACATTGACAAAGACAAAAACATGCCTATCAGATTAATATATATTATAATAAAGCAAGTAGGCTACTAATATAGTAATATATGGTACTCCCAGATCTAAACCAAAGTCAACGGACTTCCAGTTCTACACCCTAAGGATAGCAGTCCTCTGCTTCTTCCCACACGAGGGAATTTCAACCTTAAGTCCAAGGACTGCAGGTGAGTTTAGGTGAAGCCCAGCTCACTTAATGGGGTTTCCACATTGAGTCTTACTGGGGTAGCCTGTGCAGAATACTGTGTACCTCAAAAGAAAGAGTCTAAAATCCCAGTGATCTATAGTACCCAACTGGGGTCACCAAGGGCTGGATAGCAATAGATCAAAAGCACTAAATTATGCATGTTGAAGTTGTTGAACTGGAGAATGTTTTCTTGTGTGTATTTTTACCACAATTATAAAAATGATGGCATGAATAACAGTGCGTACAAGGAAGAAGAGGTTCTAAAAATGATTGTAGTAAAGATTGTACAACTCTTCTTGATATGACTAAACTATTGAAATGCATGACATGTGTATGAAGTGCCAATATATTTGTTTGAAAAATGAAGCAGATCAGAAGTGTTCAATTGGAAACATACTAGGAGGCATATTCTCCCTTTGGGCTCCATATAGGTATTTTTTCCAGATGGGAATTTGCTCCTCCCAGTTGACTCACCAACAGAAGTGTAATTCTGTTCTCTCAGACATATTTGCCTCCTTCCCTACATCTTGATTGAATTTCCAGTAAGGTTTGCTTATCACTCTGGTACGGGGGTCTGCTGAGTTGGGATGACCTTAGCACGATGAGGGGAGGTCTCCTCTATGGAGTAGTTTTTAAGATCACATATAAACCCACTCACCAAACTCACTACCATCGGCTGGATTCTGACTCATAGTAGCCCTGCAGGACAGGGTAGGACTGTGAATATGGGAGGAGAATGTTCTTTTTCCCAGGAGCAGCTGGTAATCTTGCAGTTAGCAGCCCAACGTAGAACAGCTACACCACTGAGGGGGTTAATATATGTCAGGAACTTTTTTTTAAAGGCATATCAGGAACTTTTTAAAGCCACCTTATATATTGAAAAGGAGTGACAATTTGACTACTAACGTCAAGGACAGCAAGTCAATTCCACTAATGGACACTAGGGGGGGAAAAGATGAGGCTTTTGCTCCCATAAAGATTTACAGTGTCAGAAACCAAAGGGGCAGTTCTACCTGTTCTATAGGGTAGCACTATGTATCACCCACTTTTTGTTATTCATCCCCCTGGGGGGGGTCTAGATTGATCCTTGTGATCAATTCACCCTTTCTCCCCCCACCCTCCCCTGATGCACACTGCTACAGATAAGAGCCCGCAACACAGGGAATCCAGGATAGATAAACCCCTCAGGTCCAACAATGAGAGTAGAGATACCAGGAGGATAAGGTTGGTTTTTTTTTTAATTAAATACATGGCTTTGGGGGGAAAAATCCCGGTATTTTTGGAGGGGAAACCCCTTCGCAAGGGGTATGGAGTCCATGGCACATAGGAGCACATGATACCATGGTTAAACTCTCAATTGCCGACTGAAAGGTTTATGGTTCAAATACACCAGCCACTTCACGGGTAAAAATGAAGCAATCTCCTTCCATAAAGATGTCAGTCTTGGAAACCCTAAGGGACAGTCAGATCTACCCTGTCCAGTAGGATCATTATGTGTCATTACTGACTCCACATCAATGAGTTTGGTTTGGTTTGGGGTATTTCTAGGCATGGTGGAAACTGCTTAGTCAATCTATTTTGTCTTCAGTTTATCAGGACTTCAGGAGATCCTAATAATAGAGGGCATAAAAAATTAAGTAGCATGTTCTGTAACATATATGGTCACGGTGAGTGGGAATCAACTCAACAAGGTTGTTTTGTTTCTGATTCTGTGTTAGAAAAGCATTCAGTGAATATAAGAATGGGTTTTTTCTTTGTTGTTGTTTTTTAAATCATTTTACTGGGGGCTCATACAACTTTTATAACAATCCATACATATATCCAATGTGTCGAGCACATTTTTACATTTGTTGCCATCATCATTCTCAAAACAAGGCTCTCTACTTGAGCCCTTGGTATCAGCTCCTCATCCCACCCTCCATGAACCCTTGATAATTTATAAATTATTATTTGACATGTCTTACACTGTCCGATGTCTCCCTTCACCCACTTTTCTCTTGTCTGTCCCCCAGGAAGGGGGTTATATGTAGATCTTTGTAATCAGTTCCCCCTTTCTACCCCACCTTCCTTCTACCCTGCCGGCATCACCACTCTCACCACTGGTCCTGAAGGGTTCATCTATTGTGGATTCCCTGCATTTCTAGTTCCTATCTGTACCAGTGTACATCCTCTGATCTAGCCAGATTTTTAAGACAGAATTGGGATCATGGGGGTGGGGGTGGGGAGCGGAGAAGCATTTAAGAACTAGAGGAAAGTTGTATGTTTAATCATTGCTACACCGCACCCTGACTAGCTTGTCTCCTCCCCGCGACCCTTCTGTAAGGGGATGTCCAGTTGCCTGCAGATGGGTTTTGGGTCCCCAATCTACACTCCCCTTCATTCACAATGATATGATATTTTGCTCTTTGATGCCTGATACCTGATCCCTTCAGCACCTCGTGATCGCACAGGCTGGTGTTCTTCTTCCATGTGGGATTTGTTGCTTCTCAGCTAGATGGCCACTTATTTACCTTCAAGCCTTTAAGACCCCAGATGCTATATCTTTTGATAGCCAGGCACCATCAGCTTTCTTCACCACATATGCTTATGCACCCGTTTGTCTTCAGTGATCATGTAGGGAACAAAGTGTTATTGCATTGAGGGAGTACTTGAGTGGAGACCCAACGTCCATCTGCTACCTTAATACAAAACCTATAAATATGTGCACATCGATCTATTTCCCCATTATCATTTATAAATATATTTACATATGTACGGTCCTGTATTTAGACCTCTATAAATGTCCTTTGCCTCCTAGTTCTTTCCTCTATTTCCTTTTACTTTATATCTAAAATCATAGAACACGCCTTACCTTAAGATTTGAAGTATGAGAATTCACCGATCCTTTATCATACAAATAGACCCTAAAATTATCTGCTAAAAATAATCTGAATATAAAAAATGAGAAAATTACAAACGTTATTCTTTTGGAAATATATAAAGCATCTGTCAACAAACTAATCCCCATCTCTTTCCATAAATAAAGTTTCAATGGTACATACGACACCTATTTGTTGAAAATTATATATGGCAGACTTTCTGCTACAATAGCAGCCTTGTCCTTTACAAAAAAGTTTGCCAACCCCTGAATTTGAGGCAACATTTTCTTTTGACATATACATAATTTTTATTGAAAACAATGAGAATTTTCCAAAATAACATGATTTTTCTCTTTGGACAGACTAAGGGGAAAAATTAAAAGATACCAGGAAAGGGATGAAAAGGCATTTTTTAATTTACAAAGTTATGAATTGGATATAGGTTTATGAGGGTTTTCTTTTCCTTCATTTTTTTAGCTTTACTCCTGTATAGACAATGGTACTATATCCATAATGAAATGGAAGAGTACTGTGTTAAAGTCATGTTCATCTTAACAGAAGTACTGGAAATAAGAGTCCAAATTCAACTTTCTCTAGTATCATTCCCTATATGTACTATAATACTTAATTATCTTTCCTCATCTCATGCCTGCTTCTGTAAATCAAACCAGTGGATTTAAGTCAATTCAGTAGATTCCAAATCATGACAACCCCCTGGTGCTACAGAGTACAACAGGGCTCCCCTGGGTTTTCACGGCTGTGACTTTGTACACGCAGATTGACAGAACTTCCTCCTGAGACTCTGGTAGGTGGACTCCAACTAACTACCTTTCAGTAAGTAATTGAACATATAAACCTTTGAGATACCCAGGGACTCCTACCTGCAGTCTTAACAGACTGTTAAGAACATCCCACTAAAACCATTCTCAGAAAGGTTACTAAGGACTTGTCAAATTCCAAAAGCAGTTTGCACTCAAGTAAAATTACTCTCAAGTAATTGACACTGTTGATCATATTCCCTTCCTTAAAACCAACTTCTTCAAAAACAAACACAAAAAAACAACTTCTTCAACTTCAATAATGCTACTTCCTCCAGCTGTCTATCTCTTCCACCTCGCAAAGTGTTGTCGTCTTTTAACTTCATATATTGATATCTTCTCTTGTTAGTCATTTCATCTGGATCCTTTCCCTTAAATGTTTCCATGACATTCACTTCGAGGTTGTTTTCTTTCTCAACTTTAATATTTATCCTCACTTCAATGGTGTTGTTGTTATGAGGTGCCATGAAGTTGGGTGGGTCGGACCCAGTGACAGAACTCAGTGACCTTCATACAACACTTCCTGATCCTGCACCACCCTAGTGATTATTGTGCTTGAGCTCATGTTGCAGCCACTGTGTCAATCATCTCCCTGAAGACCTTTGTTTTCCACTGCCCCTCTAGCTTTACCAAGCTTGATAGCCTTTTCGAGGGACTGGCCCCTCCTGATAAGATATCTGAAGTAAATGAGCTGAAGTCTTGTATCTTTGTTAGTAAGGAACATTCTGGCTAACTTCTTCTGGCAGTTCATTATATAGTCAATATTCCTCACCAACACTACAATTCAAATGAATTAATTCTTCTCTGGTCTTCCTTATCCATTGCCCAGATTTCCAT